CCACTGCCCTTTTAGATGCAGCCACTCTCTAACATGGTTGATGGAACTATCAGTCAAAAAAGATGAAGTTCTATGTTTAGGAGCAGTCAGCTGCCTCTATATGCAAGTTTAAACACACACACCTGCATACTCTTCTTCCCCTTTTATGGAAGGCAGAAAGAGGAACAACAGATCTCTCACTCCAGTAAAAAGGACAAATTCAAACCTCAATTTTACCATTTTGTTCATCATTTATCTGGCAAACTGGTCTCGGGACCTCAAAAACTCTGGCTCTACACTATATATAACATACATACTACTATGAGAGCATCATGCCTATCCTAAATACTCAAATCCTACGTATTCTAGTAACAAGACGCTAACCCTGGCAATACATGCATTACGTATCTATCTAGCTTAGCCTAGTAGTACTTTTTGATGCTTCCCTTCAACACAACTGACCCTGTGACACAACACTGAAGTTACAAACTGAAACTTGCAGCTAATTGGGATACAAACTGGTATTACATGACTGTCTTAAAGCAGTTATGACCTACTATAGTAAACAAAACAGTGACCACAATTTCCACAAAAAGCCTTCTGTGACATCAGGAAGACAAACACAAGAAGCTACCTTCCTGTTCTCCCTGAACATTTCTCTACAGGCCTTCCCCCTCCATCACAAGGGGTTTTCAGAATAAACCACATGTTCAGTTTTCAAGGAGTTTTTGAGTGCCAGTATTACACCAGCTTTCAACAAACAGATCTTCTTCAGTTTCAACATGGATTTTTCACATCTTCACTTTTCACCCTCCCTAAATTCCCTAAATGAAATAGGGAAGATTAACAACCATCCTTGGAAGATCAAAAATACCACTCTTCACATTGCCTACAGCTTAATTTCAGTTTTCCAACAACTATCTTGAGACAGGAGCCCTTCCTTCTCACTGATGTTGCTAGCTTGTTTCCAAACTAAAGGCAACCACAACAAAACATTCACATGGTAGAATGTTTCCTTAGAAGTTCCATATTAAATTCATAGCTATGCTCAGACCATGACACTGAGCAAATGCAAGAGGCAACAAGATGTTGTGGAATGGGTTCAAAATGGGGAGATAAAATATATTTCAGATCATGGCTAAATTGGGGGGAGGAGGATGAGATAATCACCTTTGGTTTGCAAATATGTGTCCTGGGTGTCATAAATTTCACTACATCTACATGGACCTGAAATATTGTTACTCTTTAGCCAACAGAACACAATAAGCACCCAAAAGCTTCCCATTACTTAAAAAGCTTTGATGGTCAAATAAAGGATGTCCAGCCCTCAGACACTGCAGCTGCAAAGCCATCTGAAAATACCCCAGCCCCATGTGGAAACACCCCACTTCCCAGCCACTCTCAATCACCAAAGTCAAACCAAACACGGGAAGGGGAAAAGAAACCTGACACAGTCATGAGCTTTGCTGCAGGTCAATATGCCTCTTATTCTCTGCACAGGGTCTGCAGCAGAAAGTACTGATCTGTGTGCTTTTTACTGCTTGTTTTAGTAACTGATCTCACTGTAGCCAGCAACTGTATCCCCCACCCCCTACACTGGTATTTTCACTTCCTCATGCTCATCTACACACATTTAGAACACTTAACAATTTGTTGTGACTTTTCATAACCCTGAAATTCCAGAAATTAGAACCCACACTGCAGTAATCACCTTTATGCTTGCTTGACCAAGATGATTTTTATGCAATGCAAGAAGAAAAACACAAACAAAACTCCAACCAAACAGAAAAGCAATCCCCACACAAATGCTCAGCAACAGCTTCCTCAATTTAAGCACTGATGTACACTGCAGTCACAATGGTTTTAAGGATTGCAGCGATTTTTCTGCTTCTGTCAACATTATCACATTTGTATTTGGTCCCACTGCCACGTGACCAAAAAAGTAAATAAATCCTACAATGAAAGGATTGCACAGCCTGTAGCAATAATGTCTTGCTATAGAACACACCAGAGGAGACACTGCTCCCCTCTCTCCAAATAGAGAGCCAGAACAGCCCATGCCTTTAGACCAACACAAATCAGGCTGCTGGTCTATAAAAACTTCTTTTCTCTCTTCAGCAAGAAGATGTTTTAAACTTGCCTTTTGCTTGAAGACTGTTGAAAAAGAGACACAGAAAAGGCTAAGCTAAGGCTTTTTAATATCAAAGCAAGCTCTCATAGAAGGCACTATACTTCATAACTACGTATCTTTAGACTTGTAAAGACAGTTATTTTCTCCACTAAAACCACAGAATACGAGGTTGGAAGGGACCTCAAGGATCATCTGGTCCTAAAGTTCACTGTTTCACTGAACTGTCATTTCTTTCCCTGAAACAACTGATGATTTCCTCAAAAGTCAACTAGATAAGTGGGTAACCACAAACTGAGTAGCCTTGCAGCCAACTTTTTAAGTTTACTTCTATGTCCTTAAGTGATTCACACTTATTTACCAGCTTTCAGTAAACGTGACAACTGAGCACCAGATTGAAGCATCCCAAGCCAGGAGTGTGTGCACCAACAGGCCCATCTCAGGCTAGGAATGCAAATTTCTCATGTCACTGCTAAATGAAACACAAAAGTACCATAAAGCACAGTTTATTTGGTATCGGCTCTCTAGGGAATAAGATGCAATCCTAACTATGTTACAGCAGTGTGTACAATAGAACACTCTAACTAGAGTAAGTTGCATGAAGTGACTCTACTACTGTCAGGAAAAAGACACAAAGATTCCGGCAAAATGAGATCACCTGAGCATGAAACAGAGCAAAGATTCTCCGAGTTTTGAGACCATCACCTGCAGAGCTCTTCTCTGTTAGGCACCTGTATAGGCAGCGTATAAAACCGGTGGGGCCCACCAAACACAAGCTAAAATGACTTCCAAGCAGTATCTTCGGAGTTTAAACATGAATTTATGCTCCCCCAAGCTACCCCTCTCGCACACCGCCCGTTACGGCGCTGACACCGCTGCCCCCGGACCCTTCTCCTGTCCTGCTGCCGGCTGCTGAGCTCCGGGAGGCCGCGCTGGCACCGGCCGCGGCACGGCTACCTGACCCACAGCTATCGCCTTTCAGCCCCGCGGCCAGCACTCCCTCTCCCGCCTCCCAGCTCGCCACCTGCCTCCGGAATTGACGGGGCACGTTCGGTTTTCTGCTGTTGTTTAAACCGGCCGCTCGATACCTTTATGAGACAAAAGACCGGCCGCAGCTACAGACCTCAGCGCGCTGCCCCCTCGGGAGGCCGCTCCCCGCTCAGCCCCGGGCACAGGCACCTGCACCGGGCGGGATCTGGTTTCACGCCGCAGGGTCGCGGCTGCCCGTCCCTCAGACACACCGCAGCCCCCACCGCGCCTCAGCCGCCACCTGACAGCGCCCGCGGCCGTTACGGCGGCGGGGCAGGGCTGAGGGGCGGCGGCGGGCACACAAAGCCGCCCCGCCGCGGGGCCCTCCGGGGAGCGCCGAGCCACTCCCCAGCGGTGTCGAGACGGCCCCGACACCCGCCTCAGCGGCGCGGGAGCGGGGCAGCGCCAGGCCCCGCTCCTGCCCCGGACCCCCCATACCACACACGGGAAGCTCCAGGCCCCGCAGCGCGGCGGTGGAGGGAGCCCGCTAGAGGTACCTGTGTCAGGGAGAGGTGCGCAGCCATGCTGCTTCCATCATGCACCGGCCCGCCCGCAGGAAGGACGCGCCGCGGGCCCGGCACTCGCGGGCCAACTTCGGCAACTTCCCCGGCCGGCCCGGCCAAAACCCGGCACCGGATCCCCGCCCGTCCAACGGACGGAGCCGGAGCCTCCTCCGCCCGCACACGGCAGCGGCGGACGCGAGCAAAACCGGGCGCCGGAGTGTACTCAGCGGAGCCGGAGCCTTCCCGAGGCAGCTGCAGCGAAAACCCGGAGCCGGAGTTCTTGGCCTAATGCGGTGGCCAACATCCCGCTCCCAGCCTTTCCCATACCCTCTCTATGGGCCCTGCTTCTTCTGGAGGTGCTTCAAGCATTTTGAACGGCCACAATCCCCAGTTTAGTCATGACTTAAACAGGGGAAGTTTAGATTGGATATAAGGAAGAAGTTCTTTACTGTGAGAGTGGTGAGGCACTGGAATGGGTTGCCCAGGGAAGTCATAAATGCCCCATCTCTGGCAGTGTTCAAGGCCAGGTTGGACAGAGCCTTGGGTGACATGGTTTAGTGTGAGGTGTCCCTGCCCATGGCAGGGGGTTGGAACTGGATGATCTTAAGGTCCTTTCCAACCCTAACCGTTCTACGATTCTGTGACCCACGTGGGGTAAGCCCCACAACAGGAGGTGCCTCGGGCCTGGGCTCGATTCCAACAGAATTGGGCACAGGGCCCGGGAGGAAGCAGTGTGTGAGCCCAGCGGGATGTGCTGACCCAACACATCAAGCCCTGGGGCAGTCCTGGGCTTGGCCTCCTGCCTCAATCCCCCAGACCTCACAGGAAACGTTGCGCCTGCCCAAGCCGCTCTTGGCTGTACATGTCCTTCTCCCTGTTGAGCTGTCTGTGCCGGGTGGAGCAGTGAGACTGCAGGAGGGGGAAAGCAGAAGAAAGGGACGAGCAACAAGGAGAAACCATGAAACAACATAGGCAGCAAAAAAAAGAGGAGCAAGCTGAAGTGGGAAGCACCCAGTTCTCCTGACCCATGAGAAACAACTATGTACAGAAAGGCTGAAAGACTTACTTGTGCCACCATCTATTCTCCTGCTCCTTCCACTTCAGGGCTCCAGCTTCACACGGGCAAACCTCCTGCTGCCACACAGAGCCATGGAACACGAGGACATGAACTGCTCTACTTGTACCCACTCAGTCCCCCTCACTGGTTATCCCACTTGCTTTTTCCACTACCACATCACACATCAGCCACTGAGGGCGGAGGGAAAACACATCTGCTTTTTTACCCCAAGAGGGATTAAGCACAAATTTAAGCCTGAAAGACATATTCAGGCCGATAAAAGGATATTACCTGGAGTCATACATGATTATTGGAAATGTTTTGCAATGTGCTCTGTTTTATTTCTCCACCTCTCTGCATTTTTGTCCTCTTCCGTTCAGTTTCATGCTTGTGATGATACTCATGCCCCACCTCTGCATCCTGTCATTCCGCAGCTGGCAGTCATTCTGCACTGCTCTTCCTCATCTCTGCCATGAAACGTGTTGGCTCCCTCCTTCCTGTCTATTCTGTAACAAAGGTTTTATAGAAGCTCTGCTTTACAGACCTGTTTCTCAGTTACTGTTTCAGCAAGAAAAAGAAGATATGGAGGGGAAGAATATAAAACAGAACAGATATAGAAATATTCACACCATTCACATACTCACTGGCATACCTCCACTCCACCTCACACTCATTTCCTCTTAAGTAAAATCCCTAGAAAATAGCACAGGCTATTATACTTCTAGGTTGATTTTTTTTCTTCTTTGATTAAAATTGGAATACTATCCCACAATAATTAATACCTGGAAATTAAACCAGTAGATGGCAAAACTACAGCTGCGTCTCCCGAGGACAGCAGTATTTGAGCCCGTTCCCTCTGTAGGGATCTGAAGGGTCTGGGTTTCCATTAGCAGCCACGATCTCACATGGATGCCCTTTGCTCTGTCAATTGTTTTCTCCTCCTCTCAGTGTCCTCTCCCTGGGTGAGAACAGCTACAGCTCAGCAGCACACTGGTGGCCTCAGGAGAGAGGTAACTCCCAGGCTGATGTCTTTGCATTACCAATAGAAGGAAAATGTGACAAAGGGTAATGGGACCTGGCTCTGGAGTTAGAGGGTTGATGTTGAACTGCTGTGAGCAGGATTTTGTAAGCAAGCTAGTTGTCTCAGCAGATGTGTTCTTGCTGCTGTTCCACTTCTCTCTGCTGGGTATTGCATCAAGTGTTTCCCATCTGGGCCAGCACTAGACCCACAGCTGCAGCGAGGCTACTGAAATAATGGTGCAGAGTCAAGGAACACCAGGCACTTGTTCCGATACTCACCTTTCCCAGCAGAGCCCTTCCTGCAGGGCAGCCTCACCCAGAGCACAATCAAATGCCCCATGTCCCCTCTGAGCAGTAGATGCTGTCCAGGAGGTGTATCTGCTTTGGCCAACAGCTGCCTCTGGGGACCCGACCTTCCTCAATCCCCTGGGTTAGAAAATAAACACAACAAACCCCATCATTTTGCTCCATCAAACTGAAGTGCACAGCGGTCTGTGATCCAGCCTTCTCCTACTGCTGTGGAGCTCTCCTAAGCTACAGCAGCAGCAGACTACAAACTGTGCTTGCTGCTGAGGAACTCATTGGCAGTACCAGGTAGCTAGCTGGTTGTGTATCTTCACACCCTGGCCGTGTGCATAGCACGCTTGGCTCCTTTGAAAGATGGATGGACTGTCAAAACACATGGTTGTTGTGCATGACCACTCTGTCCACAGAACACGAGAATCGCTCAAGGTAGCCACTGTGACCTTTACAAATTAAAATGAGCTCTATTCAATCAACATAGAATTGATGTGGTCATTTTGCTGTTGTTGAACATTCTGTGCCTCACACAGAGAAACATTGTCCTGGATGCCTCTAACCACCTGAGTTAAACCATCCAGCTGACAGCCTCAGGCATCTCTGCAGTAATTACAACACACTTGTCAGCGTGCTAACAATGAACTGTTGTGCTGCAGATTTGTACGAATCCAGAATGACAGCTCCCAGAAGGAAAAAGCTATCTGCTTCTAAGCTGGAGTCAAACTATCATTGCCTGACATAGAGTCATAAAACTGGACTTCACACTTACTTTCTGTCAAGAGAAAAAATAGGGCTATTAAAATCTACCCCAAACCACTGGCAGGTTTGCAAAACAATGTCCTCCAATTCCTTTCCTGGCTTAGTCACGCACAGCTCAGTAGGGCTTGGCTAGCATGGAACTGGGGGACTTACTAAATGTACCACTCCCCTTATTTTGCTCCTCAGTAGAAACACTATGTTTCTGCCTGCCTTTGCTGACTCCATCAATCTTGGGCTTCCGCGGTATCTCCTGCCCTGAGAATTGTGCAGATGTTGGAGGGGTAGTGGGATTGTGCGCTAGGTTTTTGGGAGAGCTTGTCACGAACATGAGAAAGTCAAAAGGTCAGTGAACTAGGTAAACACTTAAGAGTTTAATTTCATATCTTCTCACGTTCACCATGAATTCTCCTGCAGAAAATGTGTTAATCTGTAATCTGCTCTGTAATAATTGCTATATATTTTTTTGTCCTAAAATCTTCTAGTACAGGACACTTTTGGTACCAAAAAAACATGGAGAACAGTATTAGCATGCTAATGTAATGGAATTTTCTATGATTCCAAGTACTGACATTTTGAAAAATGGGTACCAGATCTCAGTGTTCTTTACTGCTTCTTTAAAAGTACAATGCACAAGGTTAAGCCTACACTGTACAAACAAATGACTACTAATAAATCAGAACCAGCTAAATGGCTTGTGAGGAATGAGACTTGCGCCAGTGTAGCCACAATAGCAATGGCAGAACCGTTTTGGTGCAAATCCACATTGTAAGGCACTTGTTCTTACATAAAGTGACTTGTTCTGGTACAGTTGACTTGTTACTGCACAGGTTTCAAATTCAAGATAGCAGAGAAAGGCCACACATGAGTCAGAATGAGACACTAATGACCTCTGTGGTTTATAAATATCTTGTGATTACCAGATATCATTGTTAGTAAAGCCAATAACATTTTAATCATATCCACTGGTCTTCCTGGAAACAACATCTTAAGTGTCCATCCCTTCTTTATTATAGTTTTGTTTACATTATGATCAGCACACAGGAAGCCCATTATTTTTTTCCCAAAACAACACACAGGCATTTAGTAGGACTTGTTCTGCTCGTTCTAGGAAAAGTATTATAACCTGTGAGCACTCAGAGGGCTGGCTAGAGGAATGACTCACTCCTGCCTCCTGCATACCTGAACATGAAAAGACATACTCAGCTTTCTGGAATTTGAGTGCAAAGCAGATTAGTAGCTCAAATATTACATGTACACAATTAAGGATCTATATGTCAGAAGGACTAAATCATTTTGTGCTTTACAGAACAAAAAGAACAAGGAAAAGCATGTTACAGAACAAAAGAAAGCAGAAGAGAAGGCTTTGGGAAGACCTTAGAGCAGCTTGCCATTACCAGAAGGGGGCTACAAGAAATCTGGAGAGGGACTTTTTACGAGGGCATGTAATGATAAGACAAAGAGAAATGGCTTTAAATTGAAAGAGGGGAGACTTAGATTAGACATTAGGAAGAAATTCTTCCCTTTCAGGGTGCTGAGGCTCTGGCACAGGTTGCCCAGAGAAGCTGTGGCTGCCCCATCCCTGGCAGTGGTCAAGGCCAGGTTGGACAGGGCTTGGAGCAGCCTGGTCTAGTGGAAGGTGTTCCTGCCCGTAGCAGGGCGTTGGAACTGGATGAGCTTTAAGGTCCCTTCCAATCCAAATCAGTCTATAATTCCATGATTTTATATGCATGAACACACAAAATCCTAGCAAAACTATAATTACTGTTGTATGATCTGGAACTGGCTTACAGGTAAACAGAGACTGTCTTACGTCACACAGGTTTCAGAAAGCCAAGCAACAGCTGTACTCCTGATCTAAAACAGCATTTTTGCAAGACTTGCATTATTGAGATGTCCCTCCTGAGAGTACTTTCCAGGACTAGCAACACCAGTTATTTCAGGAAGTCACAACTGTAGGCATGCCTTTGAATAGAAACACACCCCTGGATATGATTTATGTGCTCTCTACATTTTATGCAGCTGCAAGTTTTCTACATATAGGGTTACTGATAGACTAGTATCTTTTAAGGCCACAAGAGACCATTACAATAATCTAGCCTGACCTTCTTAATCAGATCTTCCACAGAGACCTGTTAATTTTTTGCATAAAACCTGTATTGTGCAAGTCTGACAGGTTATCTTTTAGGAGGACGTCTAGTTATTAAAGCGTGTATACTGATCATTATGAAAACTGCATAGGAATAATCTGCTGCTTCCTTCTGTCCTGTGCTCTTGGCTCATCTTGGTAGGTTGCAGCTTCTCAAAGTTATAGCTGCCTCGAAAGTGTTTTAAAGTGGGTCATGGAATAATCAAATTTATACAAAGTACAGTAGTATTAAAGAAGCACAAAGTAGGATATTAAAGTATCTTTGCATATTTCTTCAGGTGAACAGTGTTCTCTGTTCAGAAATACTTGAATATATCTGAATTCCATTTCTTCATCTGGCAGTCTTATGTCACACAGAAACAAAGCACAGTATGGAATAATTGTACCTCTTTGGAAAATGATGTCATTTATATTGCAACTATTCAGAATCCCAAAAGGCAAAGCTATTTTTAAACTGTGATAGTTAGAAAGAACAATCTTGAATTTTTATCAAGAGATTGGAATGTTACAGTTGATAATAACTTAAATAAGGCTTAAGTGAATCTCTTCAAAAGAATTCTGTTTGATGGAACCGCTGGCAAATTTAAAATGCAGCACTACAGACTCATCTACACCATTTTAAAACATACACAATTTATCTTTTCATGTAGACTGCAAGCATATTTTCCCCAACTAATTTGTGTAAGCCAATTTCATGGGGCTATACCTCAAACTCCAAAAAGAATTAGAAAAAACGTAGATATGTATCAGAGGCCAATTTGACCTCTTTGTAAACTAGATGGGTGACATGCAGCAAAGTGACATTGTTCACATAGGATTTAATATTTAATTCATGATCATATTTGAAACCCAGAAAAATCATCAATAAACATTAATTTGCCATGATGTCCAGCTAATGCAGCAGCTGGAGATTTAGCTGTTCCTTGTACAGCTTAATATATGCTCTGACAGAAATGGAACAAGTGATACTTGTACAGTGATAGCACTGCTGAAACAGTAACAGTCTTCATTATAAATTAAACACATCACTATTGTAATGTACGTTGTACATTTGACCAAAATGAGGGTTGAAAACTATTATGCTTCCAAGGTAGCTGACAGAAAGGCTTCTACCTACAGTTTCTGTTCCCCTTTTCCTTAGAAATGTTGTCTATACTATAAATCCACTGAATGCCAGCTTGCATTTCTGAAACAACTGCAATTCTGTTTTAAGTAAATGTAAAATATGTAAAATCTCCACACTGAATTCCAAGCAATCCCCTAACCTAGAACTTATTAACT